GTACTCATTAAACACGAAAGTCATTCAGGAACTCTGGTCATTCTCAGAAGCCCTCCCTCCTATTGAGAGGAGGTGGCTGTGAGTTGTAGTCCACTTGATGACTCACAAGTTTATACTTTCATCTCGGATTTCCATGGATGTGTGATGAGTATATCTCAGTTCTAACTCATTATGCTGCTTATTTGGAAGACAATTTACTCTTTTGAATAGCTACATTACATTTCACGATATGGTTGTACAGGCAAACTCTAGGAAGGGATGTATCGCTGTGGCTACCATGGATGTGTCTAAAATAATGGGCCAAATAGAAAATGTTTACTAGAGAATAGGAAGAGGAATTAAGACAATTTTTAAAGTCCTTAATCCACAATCAAATGTTATTTAAGCTGACAATTACAAGCAAATGTGGAAATCAAACCCATCATCTCTTTCTGAATGCCTGCCAAGGTAATTCTTCACACCACATGATTTCAACTCTTATCCCACACACCTTTTTCCTTTGGAAGTACACATTCAGCCAACCAACCAACCAATCAGTATTTTTTAAGCACTGACTTCTGCTTAGTCCTGAGGAGAAGAAACCAGGTCTTCGAACTTTGAGCTCCCAGCACCTCCCCAAGAAACAGTAAGCAGAAGAAGGATAATAATCTATCCTAATGTCCACTAATCTACTGTGAATAAGAAGAGTAAAATTAGGTGTCCATCTTCATTGATAAGAACACTTACAAACAAACGGGTCTAATAATTTTTCCTCAGTAATGCATACAGTAAGAAGCAGAATCAGACCTCAAATGCAGGTCCTCCTCTTCTAAATTCCATGTTTTTTCCCTACTACACTTTGCTGCTATAAGGTAAGCACCCACAATGACCCTCATACGTAGCACTTGTTTCCTATTGTCAGCCCTAGCTCAGTCTTGGAATTGATGGTACATGCAACAGAATATGAAACAAAAAATATTCTAGCATCTCAGAGAGACACTATTCTGTTTTAAATCAAATCAAACCAAGCAAACTGCCATCGTGTAGATTCGACTCCTAAGTGACCCTACAGGACAGCGTAGCCTGTTCCCTAGGGCTTCTGAGACTGTACATTTTTACAAGAGTAGACAGCCTCATCTTTCTCTTGCAGAGCAGCTAGTGGGTGTGATCCACTGACTGTTTGTTAGCTCACTGCACCATCAGCGTATGATGTCCCCGTAAGCAAACAACCAACCAAACCTACTCTACTGAGTCAGACCAAACTCATGACACCATGCAGGGTTTCTGAGACTGTAACCCTATACTGAGCAGAAAGCCTCATCTTCCTCCTGTGGAGCAGCAAGTGGTTTTGAACTGCTTACCTAGTGAATAGCAGCCCAATGCCTAATTCACAGTGTCATCAGGGCTCCTTTGCTTACCTCCTAGAATTCCTTATATGCGCACTCCTTTGTCTTTCAGAATCTTCTTTCAAATGTGAAACAGAAGTGTTTGAGTTGCTTTGGCCTTAACTGCTCTCAATACACAAAGGCCCCTCTGCTCTCTCTCTTTGTGTCAAATCCCTTGCATTACTGCTCGCTGCCTCCCAGCTTGCCAGCATCAAGATCTTGGATAAAAAATCCATCTGGCAGCAATTCAATCTAGGCAAGACAAAAGTGAGGCTGATAGGCAGAAGTATTTAGAGTCAATAAGGATAAGTGCTGTTTTACTGGCAATCGGGACATCATCTCCACCAAATGTAAACAGCTTTGTGGTGTTACTGGACTCTGTTGCTTCTGGACTTCTTAGCAGCTACTGCGGCTGGAAATGCCATCTTCAATCTCCAGCTGGCTTAAAGGCTGCATACTTCCTTCCAAATTAAGAGTCTGCCACAGTGATGTACACATTTGTCATATCCAGCTGGACTACTATCATGCGTTCTAGCTGGTTCTCAATACACAAATTACATAAACTTACAGACAACAGTGCAAAGCAATTTACTTGTTGAGAAAACCAGCCAGCAAATGTAGATGCGGCCTTCAGTCTTTGGACTGGACCCTTTGGCCATCAGGACATCAAAGCACCATAAGCTTTAGTCACTAAAGACCAAGTCACATCATAGGTCCATCAGCCAAGGCCCAACACTTAGTGACGTCGATATAAACAAGAGATGAATTAAAGAGAAGAAAAGGAAAGAAAATATCTGAAGGATCACAGGATACAGAAAAAACCTTTGACTTTTGTCATGGGTTTAAATGACTACATGGCTTTCAAAACAAGACTTGTGATTTATAACCCTGAATAAGTCAGACTCAAATAAGCCAGCATATATATATATACTTCCCAGTACATCTTCACTTATTTAAAAAATAATGATGAATAAAGGATTACCATATAAACTCGAGTATAAGCCAACCCGAATATCAGCCGAGGCACCTAATTTTACCACAAAAAAATGCATTAAAAATGTGCTGAAAAATGCAGCTCATACACAAGTATATACGGTATGTTCAATGTAAATCCAAAACCAAGCTCAATGCCATTGAGTTGATGCCAACTCCTATCGACCCTACTGGCTCTGTGAGTTTCCTCTTTATGAGTGGGAAGCCCCTCTTTCCTCTGCAGAGTGGCTGATAGTTTCGAACTGCTGACCTTGCAGTTAGCAGTCCAACATGCAACTACTGAGCCACCAGGGCTCCTTCATTAAATGTAAAGGTACCTGTTAAGAGTCTTCTGTCCAAATGTCACCTAAAAAGCCAGCATTCTTTGGCCAACATGGAGAATGACAAATGTGATAGGTAGGTTTATTGTCCCAACCTGGCCAATAAGAACATGTGGGATTAATAAGGTCGCAGTTTGACTGGAGGGCAAAGAGATAAATGGATCAGCAAGCCCCGCCTCTCTCTCTTGCTTTCTGGTTCAGCTGTCTTAGCTAGTTCTCTGCCTCAACTTGCAAGCTACACTGCCCATGGGACACCCAACCCATGGACCATTTTGCTAGAGCTTGAGGTTCCTTTGAGACCTGCTTCGCCACAGCACTGGTATATATACATCACTTGAGCTGGGGACTGTTGGATTCCGTCATCTGGCTGACTGTTGGTGACCCGCCCTGCTGTTTGCTGCCTGTGGCCAGAGTGTCTGCATTGCTCTTTGGAAGACTCATCTGTTTGCTTCCTTAACCTTGGACCTAGCAGCCCTCATGAGTTGAAGGACTTCCAGTATATTAACTGTTTCATGGAAGTGAGTTGAACTGAGCCCTCTATACTGTTGTGTGGACTAATTAGCTGTTATATTCCTTCCTGCTGTATATATTTATCCATACACACACACACACACACTGGTTTTGTGTCTCTAGAGAACCCTGTCTAGCACAGCAACTAACAGAATGCTTTAGATATTAAAAAAAAAAAAGCATGTGTTTCCTCATTTGGATGAAAACTAAATAGTATACTGTATTATATGGGACAAGAGGTGGTAAAAATCCCCTCTACAGGGCCAGGAAGTAACCATTTTAGGGTTTATGGGCTCCATGGCATCTAAGTGACATTAGCATACAAAAGCCTCTGTAATGAGCATGTAAATGAACAAACCTGGCTGGGCGCTAATAAACCTTACTGAAATTTGAACTTCACATAATCTTCAATAGGTCAAAAATACAAATATTCTTTCTTTGGATTTTTTCCCGACCATCTAAAAAATCTAAAATTCATTCTGAACTTGGGAGCCTACAAAAACAGGACAGTGTTAAATTAACCTGGGGATAACTGTTTGTTCACTCAGTAACCTGAGTATATTGAATAATCACTCATGGCCAGCCAATTTCAACTCTTGGTGACCCTCTAGGACAGCGATTCTCAACCTGTGGATGGCGACCCCTTTGGGGGGGGTCAAACGACCCTTTCACAGGGGTTCCCCGATTGATAACAGTAGCAAAATTACAGTGATGAAGTAGCAACAAAAATAATTTTATGGTTGGGGGGGTTACCACTACTTGAACTGTTATTAAAGGGTCACAGCATTAGGAAGGTTGAGAACCAGTGCTCTAGGACAAAGAAGAAGAGTCTTGTTTCTAAGACTGTAAGTCTAGGGGAGTAGAAAGCTTCATCTCTCTCCCATGAAGCAGTTAGTGGTTACTAACTGCTGACCTTGAGGTTAAGAGCCCAACACATAACCCACTGTGCATTCCAAACCAGAAAACCAAATTCACGGCCAGCAAGTGGAGCCTAAGGAACACCTGTGGCTATGGGGTTACACCAAAGCCTCAAGGTCAGCAGTTAGAAACTGCCTGCTGCTCTGCAGTAGAAAGAGAGGCTTTCTACTCCTGTAAAGAATTACAGGCTCAGAAACTCACAGGGCCAGTTGTACCCAGCCCTATGGGGTGGCTTTGATTTGGGACGATGTCATCTGCTCCTTATATAGCATAATAGTAAATACACCTCCACACCACCAGGACCTAAATTCTCAGCTCTGCCACTGCTATCCTAGGGCGATTTAGGACAAACGGTTTAATAATCTGCCTCAGTTTCCCCCATTTGTAAAATGCAGTTAATAACATCAAGAGCCTCTGTAGGTGATTGCAAGTAGGAACTGTGATTATACTTTTGCAAAAGATACTCCCTGTGCGTAGAAAGTGCTCAGTAAACGTTATCAACTGGTAAAAATGATTGTTCTTCCACAGTTAACTTCTCTTTAGCTTACTTCAACAGAACAAACAATGAGCACTTTCGCGCTTAGTTTTCCTAGCGTACGTCACGGTGGTTACGTGATGGGCTGCTACCTGCAAGGTCAGCAGTTCCAAACTGCCAGCCACTCTAGAAGACATGGCTTCCTACTGGCGATAAGAGTTAGTCTGGCAAACCCACCGGGGCGGTTACGCTGGCCTATTATGAATCGGGATCCATTCAATGTCAACGAGTTGGGTTTGAGTATCGAGTGTCTTCTCACGGAAGAAAGAAACCGAAACTAGCCCCCAACAGGTAAACCGTGCACGTCCCCCTGCATTGCAAACCTGCCTAGGAGCCGCTGCCTTACTCACGGACGCCTACCCGGTTTCGGTCTTCGGGGGTCAGCAGGTCCTGCGCCACACCTTCATCCAAGACGTCTTTAACCAGAAGCTTGTCCACCAGCGTGGGCTGCAGGAGGCTGAGCAGTTGCAGACACTGGTCATGGCTGTTCTCCACCGACGGCGAGGGCAGCTCGCCGAGCTCGGGATCCACGTAGCGGGCGGCGAGGCGGCTGCCGGTGCACTGCAGGGCCGTCACAAAGGTCCGCTGCCAGCCCGGCGGCCAGGCGCCCTGTTCCAGGGTGCTCAGCAGCAGCTCGACGGCTTGCATGTTCCCCGCGGTGGCCGCCTTGCTCTGAATCTGCTCCTTCGCGTCCGGCGGCAGAAAGGGCAGGTAGTCCAACACGGGCTCCACCTGGATGCACCGTTTCAGGCGCTCCCTGAAGCACTGGATGAGATAGCGGAAACTGTTTTCCGAGGACATCCTTCGCTCTCCGAGAAGGGGCAGGATTCTCCCCCGGGGATGGTCGCGGTGCAGGCGGCGAGCCCTGTGTCCACTCGCGGAGCCGTCCGTCTGCAGGGTCCCGCGGACGCCGGGACCTGGGGGCGCGCGGGCCGGGGGCGCAGGCGGGGCCGTGCGGTTCGCGCCGGGACAGAGGGCCGGGTGGCGGACGAGGGCACGGGGAGGAGAGCCTGGCTTCGGTCGGTCTGTGGGCGCTTCTTATAAGTTGCTGGACCGAGTTTCACTTTCGGTTCTCTGGCGCCGTGACTTTCCAAGGAAATCAGCTGAGAGGGGAGTGTCTGTTTCGTTGGGGGCGGAGTCCTCCTTTGGGTGTCTGGGACTGCAGGCCTGGGGAGGAGGGCCTGGGCGGAAAGGAAAGGGAACCACGGGTGGGAAAGGAAAAGGAAAGCAAGTTCTCGCTCCCAAGGCCGAGGACGTCGCCCCAGTGCCATTTAAGCAGCTCCTGTGCCCTCCACCCCGGTTTCTGCCTCATCCAGCAGGCATGACCCACATTACCGCAGCGCTGTTTGCGACCTCCCAGAAGCTAGTGATTCAAAATTTAGCACCACCAGAGAGATCAAGACGAAAGAACAGACCCCAGACTCTGCTGCTAGCAAATTTGGGCCTGGTGAGTGAGCCGGAGAAGGGGAGGGAAAGAAAGCCAGCTAAGCAGACACCTTTCCCAAGAAGTGCCCCCTAGAGCCCCGCATCGCATCGGAGAGACCCCAGTACTTCCTAAAATAAACCTGGGCTCCTGTGCTTCCCCCTGAACCAGCTTGCTCCTAGGAGAACTTGGGGCTGGGTATGAAAGAGATTGCTAGTATTTATTGAGCTCAGATTGGTGTCTGTGACAGATGCCAAGGGACATTATCCACCAACTCAGCTTAGAAGGAAGCCAAGAGAGGTTTCCTGTCTGCAGGACTGGAAGCTCCCCATGTTCTTTAGTGTACATCTTTCCTTTAATAAAACAAAACAAAACCCAAAAATCCCCAACAATTTATTTTTGATGTAGCTGCCACTCTTTTCTTGGATTCGATACAGCAAGTCTTGGCTGAAGCAGCTAGGAACTTAATTAGCAACTAATGTACCAACTTGCAGTAAACATCAACATTTGTCTATGTCATGAAGGGAAGTGGAAAGACACCCACACTGGAAAATGGCAGCTTCCCTTCAGCTCAGAAGCCCCATAGATGAGAGCCCTTAAGGTTGCTACTTACTGAGGCGTTCTGTAACTGTGGGTGTTAGTGAGGGATAGGATGTATACATCATAAGTAGAACCTCCCGCTTCCGAAATATGCAGGGGAGGTCATTGGGGCGGCTGTTTGCCCAGACATATTTTGGAAAAGTATTCTGATCACAGAACATATTCAATGCAGTCTGGATATGCCAGGGAAGCCTGGGTAAATAAAGTGTCTGTGTGTCTAATTGAGCTCTTTATGGGACTGCCTTATTTTATTCCCTAATTATGCTCTGTGCTATTGTTAGTAAGTCCCTGTGGGAAACTGAGGACCTGGAAGAAAGTGTACATTGTCTGCTCCCAGCACTCTGACTACAGGGCTTGGCATCGCCATCCCTAGCGTGAGACACCTCACGGATGGAGATCAGGAGATATGGAATACACTAAGATTCCAGGTAGGCCATTTCTCCACAACACGCCTGCTTCCCATCAAAGTTATTTTCTACAGGCCCATACCTCCTCACAGACACAGATAAAATACACTTATCTTAAAGGATGTATGCTTCCTCTGAATGCTTGTAGTAGCAAGGCTAGTACATTGCCTATTTGGTTGATGTATATAAACAATGAATGAGAGGCTTGCATGCCTCAAGAGCTACAAAAACTCATTGTTGAATAAACTCTGGGCTATTCTCCCACTTCTCGCTTCTCCCGAGAACAGAGTTGAGTCCTCTGCTCCCCCTTTTCTGTCTTCTTTGTCTTCTTTAATTGCACACACATGAAACTCCTTGGGCCCATTCGACTGTGTGGCTGGATCACACAAGTCCCATCCAGTTGGCTCCCATTCATAATGACCTTATGTAACAGAGGAGGCAAACAAATGCTACCAGGGTTCTAGTTCATCTGGTATATTCCACACCAACAGGCTTAAACATGCCTCTGGGATCAGCAGATTTGGGCAAGCAAGTTCTTTCAGCAATACACTTGCCTTAGTCTCATTTGGGTGCTCTGCTATAAGAAAAGTCCAGCCCAAAGCAGTGACTTCTGAGTGGAGCTGCCATTAAACTCAAGGCCGAGAGGTCCACTCCGAAGGCTACTGATGTTGATTTTTGGTTTTCCCAAGGTGTCATCTTGGTGGATTTCCTCATAGGACATAATGTAATCATGGGAGCTTCCCCAGAAGGAAGCTTTTTTTATTAAAATTTTTTTATTGTGACTTAAGTGAGTACTTATATTTCATGTCATCATTTTTGTATTCAACAAACTCAAACAACCTATCAAATCTCCCAATAGCTTGACCCGCCCCCCCGCTATTTCACTCTTCTCCCTCTTTTAGGAGATTATCCTCCATTCACCCACGTTAACGTCTGTCTAGCCTCTAGACCAGGGCTTGGCAACTTCTCTGGAGCTATATGCGGCTCTGTGGGTACATACATGTGGCTCTGAAGTAAAATTGCAAAACATTTAAAAGGATATTATTCAGATAACGATTATTTCATTTACTTGTAAAAATACATTTATGACTCTTGAATAATCGTTAAATTGTTGTGAGAGACAGGATTGGCTCTTCCATCTCAAAAGCTTGCCAGCCCCTGCCCTAGCCTATTGCTCCTCATTCCCTCCCTTCCTTTGCACTCCTAGTGAGCATCCAAGTCTGTTTCTTTTTTTAACCATTTATGGATATAGAATTCATGTATCATACGATTCAGTGTTTGAGTATATTAAAGAGAGTTGTGCATTCATCACCCCAGCAATTTTAGAACATTGTCTTCATTCTTGTAGACATGCTTATTAACTTCCCAATTTTATTTCCCCCAGCCTCTCTTGTCATATCCCTAACAAACTATTAATCTAGTTGTTGTCTCAACAGATTTACCTATCCTGAGTCTCATATTTTTAAAAAAAACCTCAAGTTAAAACAAAAATAATAACAAAGCAGAATAACAACAAAAAAAACAAACCAACAACTACAAGAGAATAAAACACAGAAGAACCTCCATCCAAAAGATAGTTGAATGTAACACAAACTAGAACAGGTTGAAGATGGGTTCAAAGGAAAAACAAAAAACCAACACAAAAAGGAAAAACAAATAGAAAGATGTTACTTGTTACCTGAACTATGTCTACAGTAGTCTGCGTGCCGATGCATTCTCTCTGGAGGCAAGACTGTTCCTATCCTGGGTCAGTGGGCCCAGGGAAGTCAGTGGCAGCTTACTCCACCCCAGGACTCTGTAAACAGATTTGGAGCTCTCATGGTCATCCATCGCTTTCCAAGAACCGGGTCCTCAGAATTGAAGGTTGATACAGACACTCTCACTGTTCTTGGACACTGTTGTTAATAATTATTTGATCATGCTGGTTGGTGTGCTTCTTCTGTGCAGGCTTAGCTGGCATCTCCCTCAGATGGCTGCTCGTTTTAAGACAAGCCTTGCAGACCCCTGACACTATTCTTTCTGATAGCCGGGCACCATCTGATTTCTTCACCATACTTTGCTACACTGTCCATGTCTTCAGTGATCTTTTCATGACGGCAAATACCAGGTAGGGCCACTTCATAAGAACCAATTATTCTTAGATTAAGGTTTACAATTAAGTGTGAGTTCAAAATCCATATATAGATATAGATACATGCTTTATGTATATCCCCACTCCACGTTAAAGACAGTATTATCATTTTATTGAGGATTATGATAAAGTAGCCCATGGGGCGTATGGTAATTCTATGAATAGTATCATAAATTTAGCTAATGGTATATAATTTAAAATACTGTTGAGAAGAGGAAAGTATGCATGCATAGGACAGGTTTTAGACTAAAATACATGGATTGTTTGACTTGTGCAGATTAAAAACCTATGGACTTGGCACTAGGCTAAGGTGACCAGATTTTAACATTGGTAAAGCGGGACACCATTGATAAAACTCATATCCTGGTGAAATAGCCACATGGCAGCCGAAAACCGTATACCCTAGCTTGTCGTGCATTCTTTCCAAAAATCGGGACTTTTTAAAAACGCCACGGGACGCGGGGAAAACTGTTAAAAATCGGGACTGTCCCACCAGAAGCGGGCCGTCGGGTCACCTTACACGACTAGGCAAAACCATGTCTTTTGGAAAGTTTGTTGCTTTTGGTATGAAATTCGTGATCTTGATTTTTGGATTTTATAACAGTGGTCTCATGTAATATTTTTCCGTTTGAGATTGATTAATTTATGCAACGTAATGTCCTCAAACCCACCCATGTCAGAAGTGCTTCAGGGTTTCATCATTATTCTTTAGTCATGATGACTATCCCTCCATTGCATGTATGTACCCATGTTCATTTACCCATTCTTCCCTCCATGTGCACTTGGGTGGTTCAGAGCTTCTCAATGCCATGAATAGTGCTGCAGTGAGCATGAGTGTGTGCATGTATCTGTCTGTGCTGTATTCCCGAAGGATATACACCAACTATCGCAGTTTCTGGGTTATATGGTATTTCTGTCCCAGTTGTTTGAAGAAGCATCCTACTGATTTCCACAGTGGTCCTGCTGGTTTACAGTCCTGCAAGCAGTGTATGAGGCTCTAACGTTTCTTATTTTTGTTTTTAACTTTGCTATCAATGCACAGGGGAGGTGGTGTCTCCTCGTTGTTTCGATTTGCATCTCTTGAATAGCTAATGTGATAGCTAGGTTTATTGTGCCAACAAAGCAAATAGGAACATGTGCACAGAGTTTAATCAGGTTACAGCTTTTGGGGAGGGCAACTGAGATAAATAAAGATGGCCAGTGTCCCATCTTCCTCTTGTTCCCTGGTGATCAGACCAGCATGCTGCTGCTTTAGCTAGTTCTCTGCCTCAACCTGGGTGCTACAC